CCCCCCCAAAAAAAACACCTTTGTTTTCTTTGTTGAAAATAGAGGTCCAAATGAACCTAATTTTGAAGAGCTATTGTCTTAGTTTAGACATTCAGGCTATGTACAGACATTTGGGAAGGTTGCAGGTAGGCTAGGTCATGTTAAAAATAAGTACCCAATAAGTTGGGATGGGGGACTAGCAGCTATGGGGGAGTATTGGGGGCAGCAGGCAGAGTCCATGGGAAGGGATAACAGGGATTGGGGGGCCAGGGTCTGCAGGGGGGTTGCTGGGGTCTGGGATGGTTTGGTGGGATCAGGGGAAGCTTGTGGAGTCTGTGGCAGGCCTTGGGAGAATGGGGACTGTCTGCTCCACCCCCCAGGACCAGGGCTATTTTTAGCCCCTGATCCCTCCATCCCCAGGCAAACAACAATCCCATTGCTCCCCCCACATCTCTCCGACCACTCCCCCCACCACAACTTACTTCCTCAGCTCCCGGCATCGAGAAAAGCTGATAAAGCCTGCCAGGAGCAGCTTGCAGAATAAGGGGGGTTGGTGAGCGGAGAGGGGTCGTTGAGGGAGGGCTGACTGGTCCGTGCAGCAGGAGTGTTGTCTGGCTGAGAGTGGGAGGCAGGGGCTGGAGAGCTAAAAATAACCCAGTGCCAGGGAGGGAGTAGAAAAAGCACAGCCCCAGCCTGGGGCCAGCAGCTGGGCTTTCCCAGCCCTGGGGCTGCACTGGGAACTGTACAGCAGTTCAGGTAGATCTGTCATGCTGGACCCAAGCTACATTAGACTACCTCAGAGGTATACTTAACTTGGATTGGGTTGGCCATTTTTGGACTGAACCAACTGCCCTGAACTTTTGTACAGTTTGCATGTAGATCTACCTAAATAGTGTGAGGTCTACATCTAAGCGGACTAAGTTAGATCGGGTAGCCATTTTTAATACAATCTAACCTCCCCATAACCTCCTCAAATATCTGTATGCAGCCTCAGATTATCTTCATAACTATTTAGTTATGACATAGATAGCACAAAAAATATCACTTTTGCAAAATCAAACTCAATGTCCCATTTTTCCAAGTCAACAGATAATTTGTCATTCAATGACATATTTCATTAAACTAAAGAAATCATGTTCCTGTACTTTCTAAAAAACCTTTAATCTTTCTGTAATTTTTGACAGGTTTTACATTTTACTTTAGAAGAATTACCTGGTTTTATTACTTCCATTCA